GCCACTCAGGGTAACACTACAGACAACTGGGGGCCACTCAGGGTAACACTACAGACAACTGGGTGCCACTCAGAGTAACACTACAGACAACTGGGAGCCACTCAGACTAACACTACAGACAACTGGGGGCCACTCAGGGTAACACTACAGACAACTGGGAGCCACTCAGAGTAACACTACAGACAACTGGGGACCACTCAGGGTAGCACTACAGACAACTGGGGGCCACTCAGGGTAACACTTCAGACAACTGGGAGCCACTCAGGGTAACACTTCAGACAACTGGGAGCCACTCAGGGTAACACTACAGACAACTGGGAGCCACTAAGGGTAACACTACAGACAACTGGGGGCCACTAAGGGTAACACTACAGACAACCAGGGCCACTCAGGGTAACACTACAGACAACTGGGTGCCACTCAGAGTAACACTACAGACAACTGGGAGCCACTCAGAGTAACACTACAGACAACTGGGGGCCACTCAGGGTAACACTACAGACAACTGGGGGCCACTCAGAGTAACACTACAGACAACTTGGGGCCACTCAGGGTAGCACTACAGACAACTGGAGGCCACTCAGGGTAACACTACAGACAACTTGGGGCCACTTAGGGTAACACTACAGACAACTTGGGGCCGCTCAGGGTAACACTACAGACAACTGGAGGCCAGTAAGGGTAACACTACAGACAACTGGGGGCCAGTAAGGGTAACACTACAGACAACTGGAGGCCACACAGGGTAACACTACAGACAACTTGGGGCCACTTAGGGTAACACTACAGACAAGTGGGGGCCAGTAAGGGTAACACTACAGACAACTGGGGGCCACACAGGGTAACACTACAGACAACTTGGGGCCACTCAGGGTAGCACTACAGACAACTGGGGGCCACACAGGGTAACACTACAGACAACTTGGGGCCACACAGGGTAACACTACAGACAACTTGGGGCCACTCAGGGTAGCACTACAGACAACTGGGGGCCAGTAAGGGTAACACTACAGACAACTGGAGGCCACACAGGGTAACACTACAGACAACTTGGGGCCACTTAGGGTAACACTACAGACAAGTGGGGGCCAGTAAGGGTAACACTACAGAAAACTGGGGGCCACACAGGGTAACACTACAGACAACTTGGGGTCACTCAAAGTAACACTACAGACAACCAGGGCCACTCAGAGTAACACTACAGACAACTTGGGGGTCACTCAGGGTAACACTACAGACAACTGGGGCCCACACAGGGTAACACTAAAGACAACTGGGGCCCACACAGGGTAACACTTCAGATAACACTACACCCAGATTTGCCCTCGTCTTCGTAGGAACATGTTCGGTCCTTGGCAAGTATATTATTTGTTCTCGACTGTTATATATATATTTGTTAGCTCCCTATATATGTGACATTCATGTAAATAAATCTGTATAGTGTACTATATGTCATGTCGTTGTTCTGTCTGGCTTAGGGGGCGGTGGGGTAGCCTAATAGTTTAAGCGTTGGCTCGTCACGCCGAAGACCCGGGTTCGAATCCCCACATGGGTACAATGTGTGAAGCCCATTTCTGGTGTCCCCTGCCGTGATGTTGCTGGAATATTGCTAAAAGCGGCGTAAGTCCAAACTCAGTCAGTCAGTCAGTCTGGCTTAGCTACCCCATTTGGTCACAACATGATAGAGACATACACAGGAATGTATTACCATCTTCATTCTGCAAGGGTTAAAGGAGTGGATTCACTTAAATCTTGTGTCACTTTTCATTCAGTCATAAAGAGATAATCTTATTGCTGTACTGAAATAGCAGTGAATATTTAGCTGTACCCAGGAAAGGCCTAATGCATGTTACGACAGTGTGTAATGCACACATAAATAATGATTAAAAGTCTGCCTGGAGGTTAAACACTCATATCTCTTGGTTAACAGATAATAGTTCCAAGATTGAGGTGCGAGAAAGCAGCACTCATGGGTAGACTGTATCTTGGCTCTCCTCCCCTGCTGCTGCTCTAATAGACTTGATGAGATAATCAACTATGAAATTGATTACAAGAGGAGAGAAAGTGGATGTTGCTGGTGAGAGGATGGGAGGGGGTAGGCAAGTGAGGGAGGAGACATGATGGGACTAGGGGAGGCTGGGAGGAAGCTAAATATAGAACTGCCAGGCCATTCAATTACCTCATGCTAATTTTGTGCCATTCTAAGCTTGAAACATAAAATCATGGCATGCGTGTGTTTTATGAGGTGATGTAAATTTTAATCACCGAAAGTATCAAATCATTTAACTCTCACTCCCTCTCCACAAGGGCAGTGTGCCCTGCAATTGTTTGGGCACGTGTGTAATTGTAGTGGAATTTCCACAGATGTTGAGTAAGTTCTCCACTTTTTTGCAGTTTCCTTTTCGGTTCGCGCTCATGTTAATCAAAGGCTTGTTTTTTTCAGAATGATTTATTTTCTTTGCTTCAACATTTGTAGAAAAAGAAATGTGGAAAACATGAAAGAGATTCATACCAGATAAGCATGTTGGGGAAAGATACTTGTGTGTAAATTGAATCCCTCAACTCAAGTTGGGCTAGCAACTTAGGTTAATTTTCAACAAGACACAAGGTAAAAATTAAAAATGATTTATTCATGAAAACATCAATATTCATGTCTGCAGATACTCCAACCATATGGGATATGCTTAAGTAATTTCACTATGAATATTATGCCCTGGGTATGGCAGACCACAAATGACAGTGGATGCCAGTACATGGTTTTGACTTTTTAGGCTTGAAGAATACGTTCTGCCAAACACTACTAACATGAGTACAACTGCTATACTGTAAACGTATGTGAATGATTGGCAGATAATGATTCATTCCTTGAAGAGAACCTGGTAGAACTGCAGGTAATTGTGACACATATGTCACTGTTTGCTGTCAGCCAAGTCAGTAGCTGTCAATATCTGTCATTCTGAAGCAGTCTGACTATTGTTATGCCTCTTCTCAAGTTGTTGATGCCAGATGTATGTGGTAACAGCCGGCCACATTATTACCTAGTGGCACCAGCAACAGTGCTATTTGCTGGACATCACATGGCTGCCAGCTTCAGCATTATTAAATCTCCTCTGCTGTGCCATGTTGTCAGCACACTTTAGCAGACAATGTATAATTCATGTCGCTGTGTCTGCCGCTGCTGCCAGTACAATATGTGGTCTATTATCTCCTATCCAGCAATGGTGCATTATTGGTGATACAGACTAGCCCAATGTATTGCTACTTTGTATATCACACGTTAACTGACTTTGTTTTACTTTCCCTCAGGGTCTCTGGAGATAAAATATATTTCTTATCTCAAAGAAAGATGTTACTTGTCAGAAAGACTGCACATATATGTATACTCATCCAGTAGCCACCTACAGGTGAAGTGTTGTACTGGACACACTGGTCCCCAAACTACCTAAAGGTGAAGTGTTGTACTGGAGACACTGGTCCCCAAGCAACCTAAAGGTGAAGTGTTGTACTGGAGACACTGGTCCCCAAGCAACCTAAAGGTGAAGTGTTGTACTGGAGACACTGGTCCCAGAGCCACCTAAAGGTGAAGTGTTGTACTGGAGACTCTGGTCCCAGAGCCACCTAAAGGTGAAGTGTTGTACTGGAGACACTGGTCCCAGAGTCACCTAAAGGTGAAGTGTTTTACTGGAGACACTGGTCCCCAAGCAACCTAAAGGTGAAGTGTTGTACTGGAGACGCTGGTCCCAGAGCTACCTAACAGTGAAGTGTTGTACTGGAGACTCTGGTCCCAGAGCCAGACATAGATGGAGTGTTGTACTGGAGACAGAGGCCCCAGAGCCATACATAGATGAAGTATTGTTGTACTGGAGACTCTACGTACATAACCATCACCATGCGCACCCCTGCACCCCCCTCTGGATCCGCCTATGCCTCTTGCTGTACTATAGCCATGAAGGTCATAATAGACCCATCACTGTACCTCCTTTGTTGGTGATCAGATGCTCCTTGCTGTAGCTCCAGTACAGGCGCTTTTTGGTCAACAGAGTAGCTGGCAGTTAATGGGAACCAAACATTGTCTGTATTAATCATTAGTTGAGCAGTGGTCAATAGAATCCGCTCTGGCCAATTCAGGACAAATGGGATGTCTGTTATGTGTGCACCAATTTGCTTGCATGTTGACAGATCACCTTATGCCACATTGAACAATGAATCATGGATGGATTTCATCTGAGTGATCATGACTTCACGTTAGTGAGGGGCTGTCTTAAAAGGCCTCTATAATCAGCTATTGTCCTCATCGTCCCTTGTAAGGTTTAGTTTCATACACCACAATCTGCCATACCAAGGTCACTGTTGAAACATCTTTGTGAAACTCTTCAACAAGTAGTTTGAGACTTTTTCAGCAGAATCTAAATACTTATCATCGCCTGGTGTGTCTACCAGACAGTTATAGCCTGTTCTAATAGACCAGAGTGTTGCAGAGTAACTCTGATTGTAGCTTTGGATAGATTAGTTGAGAATATTGAAATAATAATATGCTGACTTGATTATGTTTATATATATGCTCTTTACATTTTCTTTGTCACACTTACCTGTATATCAGGTATGCATATCTAAGCAAAAATAGGCCACATTAAAATATCAGAGTGATAACACATATGTTAAGCATTATGTTCACAGAACTACATAAGAGGACTGTGACAGATAATTGTGTAATTCTCCTTGCTTCATGACAGACTGTGTCCTGCACAATAGCAAGCAGTCAAGTATGGCCGGGGTACAGAAGGCTGTTTCTTGCATGATGATGGGTCACTTCTAAAGTTGCAGTGAGGTGCACCACAGCACTGTCATGAAACAAATCACACTGGTATTAAACACCATGCCTTGTTCCTAGTCAGGCTTCTGCTGCTTATCCAAGATATGTTACTTTGGTGTTTGTTTGTCTTCTCCTCTGTTTGCATGTTACCACAAACTTATTTTATGGATTTTTTTTACAATTTCAGATTCTCAGCAGTCAGCTTCTGTTGACACTGTGTCTGATGTATCCAGGTAAGTGTCTCTTACTGCCTTAAAACACTAAGCATCAGTATGTATCTCACGTCCATTCGATGTCTGGACAGTTGTGTTGTAGAGGGGTAGTCACAACTCATCAGGGATCAGGCTGTCCTAGGGTAGTCACAACTCATCAGGGAGTCAGGCTGTCCTAGGGTAGTTAGAACTCATCAGGGATCAGGCTGTCCTAGGGTAGTCACAACTCATCAGGGATCAGGTTGTTCTAGGGTAGTCACAACTCATCATGGGTCAGGCTGTCCAAGGGTAGTCACAACTCATCAGGTGTCAGGCTGTCCTAGGGTAGTCACAACTCATCAGGGATCAGGTTGTTCTAGGGTAGTCACAACTCATCAGGGATCAGGCTGTTCTAGGGTAGTCACAACTCATCAGGGGTCAGGCTGTCCTAGGGTAGTTAGAACTCATCAGGGATCAGGCTGTTCTAGGGTAGTCACAACTCATCAGGGATCAAGCTGTTCTAGGGTAGTCACAACTCATCAGGGATCAAGCTGTTCTAGGGTAGTCACAACTCATCAGGGATCAGGCTGTTCTAGGGTAGTCACAACTCATCAGGGATCAGGTTCTTTTAAGGTAGTCACAACTCATCAGGGATCAGGCTGTTCTAGGGTAGTCACAACTCATCAGGTGTCAGGCTGTTCTAGGGTAGCGACAACTCATCATGGGTCAGGCTGTTCTAGGGTAGTCACAACTCATCATGGGTCAGGTTGTTGTAGGGTAGTCACAACTCATCAGGTGTCAGGCTGTTCTAGGGTAGTCACAACTCATCAGGTGTCAGGCTGTTCTAGGGTAGTCACAACTCATCATGGGTCAGGCTGTTCTAGGGTAGTCACAACTCATCAGGTGTCAGGCTATTCTAGGGTAGTCACAACTCATCAGGGATCAGGTTGTTCTAGGGTAGTCACAACTCATCATGGGTCAGGTTGTCCTAGGGTAGTCACAACTCATCATGGGTCAGGCTGTTCTAGGGTAGTCACAACTCATCAGGGATCAGGCTGTTCTAGGGTAGTCACAACTCATCAGGGATCAGGCTGTTCTAGGGTAGTCACAACTCATCAGGGATCAGGCTGTTCTAGGGTAGTCACAACTCATCAGGGATCAGGTTGTTCTAGGGTAGTCACAACTCATCATGGGTCAGGCTGTCCAAGGGTAGTCACAACTCATCAGGGATCAGGTTGTTCTAGGGTAGTCACAACTCATCATGGGTCAGGCTGTTCTAGGGTAGTCACAACTCATCAGGGATCAGGTTGTTCTAGGGTAGTCACAACTCATCATGGGTCAGGCTGTCCTAGGGTAGTCACAACTCATCAGGGATCAGGCTGTTCTAGGGTAGTCACAACTCATCAGGGATCAGGCTGTTCTAGGGTAGTCACAACTCATCAGGTGTCAGGCTGTTCTAGGGTAGTCACAACTCATCAGGGATCAGGCTGTTCTAGGGTAGTCACAACTCATCAGGTGTCAGGCTGTTCTAGGGTAGTCACAACTCATCAGGGATCAGGCTGTTCTAGGGTAGCACAACTCATCAGGGAGGCTGTTCTAGGGTAGTCTGTCAGGCTCTAGGGTAGTCACAACTCATCAGGGGATCAGGCTGTTCTAGGGTAGTCACAACTCATCAGGTGTCAGGCTGTTCTAGGGTAGTCACAACTCATCAGGGATCAGGCTGTTCTAGGGTAGTCACAACTCATCAGGTGTCAGGCTATTCTAGGGTAGTCACAACTCATCAGGTGTCAGGCTGTTGTAGGGTAGTGTTCAGTAGGGTAGGGTCACAACTCATCATGGGTCAGGCTGTTCTAGGGTAGTCACAACTCATCAGGGATCAGGCTATTCTAGGGTAGTCACACCTCATCAGGGATCAGGCTGTTCTAGGGTAGTCACAACTCATCAGGGATCAGGCTGTTCTAGGGTAGTCACAACTCATCAGGTGTCAGGCTGTTCTAGGGTAGTCACAACTCATCAGGGATCAGGCTGTTCTAGGGTAGTCACAACTCATCAGGGATCAGGCTGTTCTAGGGTAGTAGGGATCACAACTCATCATCAGGCTTTCAGGGTAGTCACAACTCATCAGGTGTCAGGCTGTTCTAGGGTAGTCACAACTCATCAGGTGTCAGGCTGTTCTAGGGTAGTCACAACTCATCAGGGATCAGGTTGTTCTAGGGTAGTCACAACTCATCAGGTGTCAGGCTGTTCTAGGTAGTCACAACTCATCAGGGATCAGGCTGTTCTAGGGTAGTCACAACTCATCAGCGATCAGGTTGTTGTAGGGTAGTCACAACTCATCAGGTGTCAGGCTATTCTAGGGTAGTCACAACTCATCAGGGATCAGGTTGTTGTAGGGTAGTCACAACTCATCAGGTGTCAGGCTGTTCTAGGGTAGTCACAACTCATCAGGTGTCAGGCTAATTCTAGGGTAGTCACAACTCATCAGCGATCAGGTTGCTGTAGGGTAGTCACAACTCATCAGGGATCAGGCTGTTCTAGGGTAGTCACAACTCACCAGGGATCAGGCTGTTCTAGGGTAGTCACAACTCATCAGGTGTCAGGCTGTTCTAGGGTAGTCACAACTCATCAGGGATCAGGTTGTTCTAAGGTAGTCACAACTCATCATGGGTCAGGTTGTTGTAGGGTAGTCACAACTCATCAGCGATCAGGTTGTTGTAGGGTAGTCACAACTCATCAGGGATCAGGTTGTTCTAGGGTAGTCACAACTCATCAGGGATCAGGCTGTTCTAGGGTAGTCACAACTCATCAGGGATCAGGTTGTTCTAGGGTAGTCACAACTCATCAGGGATCAGGTTGTTCTAGGGTAGTCACAACTCATCAGGGATCAGGTTGTTGTAGGGTAGTCACAACTCATCAGGGCTGTTCTAGTCAGGCTGTTCTAGGGTAGTCACAACTCATCAGGGATCAGGTTGTTGTAGGGTAGTCACAACTCATCAGCGATCAGGTTGTTGTAGGGTAGTCACAACTCATCAGCGATCAGGTTGTTGTAGGGTAGTCACAACTCATCAGCGATCAGGTTGTTCTAGGGTAGTCACAACTCATCAGGGATCAGGTTGTTCTAGGGTAGTCACAACTCATCATGGGTCAGGCTGTCCAAGGGTAGTCACAACTCATCAGCGATCAGGCTGTTGTAGGGTAGTCACAACTCATCAGCGATCAGGTTGTTGTAGGGTAGTCACAACTCATCAGCGATCAGGTTGTTGTAGGGTAGTCACAACTCATCAGGGATCAGGCTGTTGTAGGGTAGTCACAACTCATCAGGGATCAGGTTGTTCTAGGGTAGTCACAACTCATCATGGGTCAGGCTGTCCAAGGGTAGTCACAACTCATCAGCGATCAGGTTGTTGAAGGGTAGTCACAACTCATCATGGGTCAGGCTATTCTAGGGTAGTCACACCTCATCAGGGATCAGGTTGTTCTAGGGTAGTCACAACTCATCAGGTGTCAGGCTGTTCTAGGGTAGTCACACCTCATCAGGGATGAGGCTGTTCTAGGGTAGTCACAACTCATCTCATCAGGGAGCCGCCAACTCAGGCTGTTCTAGGGTAGTCACAACTCATCATGGGTCAGGCTGTTCTAGGGTAGTCACAACTCATCAGGTGTCAGGCTGTTCTAGGGTAGTCACAACTCATCAGGTGTCAGGCTGTTCTAGGGTAGTCACAACTCATCAGGTGTCAGGCTGTTCTAGGGTAGTCACAACTCATCAGGTGTCAGGCTATTCTAGGGTAGTCACACCTCATCAGGGATCAGGTTGTTCTAGGGTAGTCACAACTCATCAGGTGTCAGGCTGTTCTAGGGTAGTCACAACTCATCATGGGTCAGGCTGTTCTAGGGTAGTCACACCTCATCAGGGATCAGGCTGTTCTAGGGTAGTCACAACTCATCATGGGTCAGGCTGTTCTAGGGTAGTCACACCTCATCAGGTGTCAGGCTGTTCTAGGGTAGTCACAACTCATCAGGTGTCAGGCTGTTCTAGGGTAGTCACAACTCATCAGGTGTCAGGCTGTTCTAGGGTAGTCACAACTCATCAGGTGTCAGGCTGTTCTAGGGTAGTCACAACTCATCAGGGGATCAGGCTGTTCTAGGGTAGTCACAACTCATCAGGGATCAAGCTGTCCTAGGGTAGTCAGAACTCATCAGGGGTCAGACTGTCCCAACTTTTTATTGTTTTGATATTTTGGTGGAAAATGAAAATACTCAAGTTTCTGTTTTTATGTTTGATGGAATGTTTTAGTAGTGACACATCTTTTGGCTACAGAGTGCAGACTCAGCGTTCTCATTATGACACTAATTACGGTGTGTATCATACATTGCCTGTGTAATTCCTGCTGTTCTGTCAGACACTTCCCGCTACACCTGACTTGCTCCAATCTCATTTCACTACCTCCACAACATGAGGTAGACATAAATTTGTGACAAGAAGTCTTTGAACTCTTGTTATATGGTGTGAAATATATCTTTATTGTTCTCAGATGTAGCAAGAGTGAATCATATTTGCAGCTTCACTGAAATAAACCTAATTAATTATTAGCCTGATTTTGTCATTAAAGAAAGTAATTCTGTTTTCAGTTGTCATCTATTGAAGTGTTTTGTTGGTTGTGTGGATTGGGGATCTTATCAGTATCCACCCATCTTGACTGACATTATTTCCTGCTTCATGGCTATGGAATATGTTGATATTTGTATTTAGTATTTGCGCTCTCAGAGAAAATCCACTGGTTAAGGTTGCATTTGGAATTTGCAGGAGCTGAGTTGCGTGTCTTTCACCATCTAATGTTGTTGGTGCTGAGATGTAGTCTTGTACTTTCTCCTGTTGTTTAGGCTGAGATGTAGTCTTGGGCCATTTGCTGTTGAAGGTGCTAACATGTAGTCAGAGGCTTTATGCTGTTGTTGGGGCTGAGATGTAGTCACAGGCTTTATGTTGTTGTTGGGGCTGAGATGTAGCCACAGGCTTTATGCTGTTGTTGGGGCTGAGATGTAGT